GGGCTGAAGGTGGGACCTAGGAATTTAATTGATATTATGTATTTGGGTTTTAAGGCCTTCTAGGCAGCTTATGACTGGTGGACTGAAACCCTTGACCCTTATTGGCCCCTGTGAAAGTAGACATGCACTCGAATAGTATACAACTGCATGCATAAATCTGTATCCAGAAATGTCTTCCTCATGCCTTCACATGCAGTTGTATTAGTGCGTCCAGCTGTTTTGCAAGTGAAAAATACTTGCTCTCTCTCTTGTCTCTAGCTTTGTAAACCCCAGTGGTCCTTAACCACTCTCAGTTTACCCCCAGCTGTATTTTCATCCTTGCTCTGGTAAGTCACAATAAGGACTCTTAAGTCTTGCTTAGTATTGCCCACCATCTTTTCTAGTGGTCAGCTGGGATGGCCTTCCAGGAGACACTTCATTGATCTGTTTTCTGTCATTTCAACTGTAGGGACAGTACAGATTTGGTAACTTCTAGAGACCATTTCCCTATAGCTGTGTTTCTTGCCAGACTGTGATGTACGTGGGATGCTACTCTTGGTGCTCTACCATCTTTGGAAGGTCAAGTTTCTAGTCTTTTTTTTCACCATTGCTGAGATTATTTACCTGTAGCATCATCTGGTTGGTTTTCAGATGACCTATCTGAAATTTTCTTAACTGCTTTACGTGAGATAAAAATGTTAAAACTATGTCCAGCTCCCAACTGGGAGGACAAGTGGATAAACTGACTGCCATCCCTTGGCTTAGTGAGTCTTACTGGCTGCAAAGGTTTGCTCAGAGGAGTTAGTCTTGTAGTCCATAAGAAGCTCAATGTTAGGGTTAGGAGCCTGCAAGCCTAGCCTTCTGAGAAGAGCTAAATGAAATCTTTTGACAGCCACAGAGCACAATATCAGAGGCCTCCATCTGAGCAATCAAGGGTAGGGGTCTGCTTTAAATACACTAATTTAGGAATGTGTTTTTTCTGGGTTAATTTGTTTTTTCTTTTGAAATTTGATTTCCTTTTAAAAATGATTTGGGGAGAAAATCAGAAGATGTAATATCTAAATGATCTTAGTCAAGAATACATGACAGCCCTTGATGGCGGGCGTTAGAGCTCTGTGACAGCTTTAAAAGGCATATTAAGGATTAGCTTGTAATTGCACATTAAGGGCTTTTTACAATATCAAGTATTCACAAGGCTGCTTCAGAGCAAACACTTTATTGCGTGCATCTGTGACTAGACTTATAAAAATACAGCTTGCTGTCCCCAGACTGCTGACTGTGATGCTCTTTTCACTGTTACTATCTGTTGCATCAAGATGAGTCTTTAAAAAGTGTTAGCAGTTGGACTGAGAATTTCTCTCTTGTTCCTAACTGCTGGTTTCCAAGTTGGTCAGTATCCCATGACAAACTTTCCTAATGGGTATGCTCCTCCTAACCCAGGGGCTGCTAAAAGCATGGTTGTGGGAGTTCTGCCTGAGCTGAAGGGGCCTGGGTTCAATCCCTGACAATAAGATGCAGCATGTGCTGAAACCAGGGGGTGTGAGAACTTCCCAATCGGGTCTGAAATCAAATGATGCCTTTTTCTGCTTCACACATTGTCTCCTGTGACAGAGCATCTGAAGTCAGAGTTTAGTAGATAAACAGACTGATCAGTGAGTCAGGGCAATATGTGGGGTAGATCTTTGTAACAATGGGAACAGCGTTGATGAGATATGAGTATCCCCAGGGCCAGGCCTCTCTTGCAGATACATTTCCATTGCTGACATGCAAAACACAAGCATATAAGTATCTGTCTTTGTGTCACCTAAATGAGTAGTATTTGCTTGTTGTTTGACTTCACCAGAAGTCTGCCGCAGTCACCGCCTCCCACTTGGAGTTAGAGCACGAGTGGCTTCTTATTCTGCTTTGATCCTTGGTCTGTGCAGGCTCACCTTTGGTACCAACCTTTCCCTCGCTTCTGGCACCATTATTTTCCTTCACCTACATGCTCTGCAGTGCTGACATGCTGCTGTTAGTAATTGGAAGGCCACTGAGATGTGGAACACACAAAGGGACCAGATGTGCATAATGCACACGCAAAGGGCTGATTTTTGTAGAAGCCCCAAAAGGGTAGGGGAGAAAGGAGAGGGCCGAGTGTGCAACTGCCTACCATTCTCAGAGAGATGAGCCCCAACCTAAAACCTGGCTTGGGAGCAGCTTCCTCCTCCCTGCCAGAATGCTGGGGCATTCAAAATGCAGTCCCCAATTGTGCAGGTCTGTTTAGAAATGCACAAGATACACAGCTTATCCATCAAGGATGCCCAGAACACTTCTGATTTGCCCAGTATCCTCTGTTAACCTCCCGCAGCTTTGTAAATGAAATGTGTGGTGCCATAAAGAATGCACGAGTGGAATAGAGGGGATCAGTGTAAACAGGATAAGTTAGGGGTTGCTTTAGTTATTTATTTATTAATTGGCATGAGCTGAACTGAAGTAAGATGGAAAAATATATTGTTCACCCCCTCACTTCACGCTGGGGAATTCAGATTACTAGAAGATGAGAGGACAGGTTAGATAGAAGACCACTGACTGCTTTGCATGGTAAATCCTATTTGCCTTCCCCTTCCTGTCAGATGGAGCAAGCACTTGGCAAAGTTAGAGAGAGATGACACATGATAAATGAAAATCTTAAGCCACTTGAAATGTAATTGTGGAATTCACAGCCGCAGGATCCTACCAAAGGAAATAAACCAATACTTCTCAAAATGATCTATGATATGAATGAGAATAGCACTTGTGGGTAGTTAGAAGGGCAGCCAATCTCACTAGCTAAGCACTGGAGCTTAGGAAGAATTTCCTTCTTGATGACCTAACCTGGCATTGCTCAATGAAGGAACATTATGAAAACTTTGGTATCGAGAGCGAAGGTTTATGGCTCCTTTAAAATAACTGAGAAGGGTCACTGTCGTACTGGATGGACAAAGGTATGTAGACACCTAATGATGCAGGCTGCAGGGACACTAACTAAACCTTGTCATATGAGCGTTAGTTAAAACATCCCTGTGGCCATTTTGAAATATGGGGAGGGGGTGTTAATACACGTGACTGTGAGCCATTTTAATTAGAGCAGCTATTCCAGAGCTGCTGGTATTAAACACCCCCAACCCCCTTACCGCCCACCTCAAAGCATGTGCATAGGCAACCATAGTGCCCGTGTGATGCGGTGCAGTAGGGGAGCCTGCAGCAAGGCAGCTGAAGGTAAGGCAGGCACCACAGGTGGCACGCAGTGTGGGAGGCCTGCAAGCCCCGTGGCTTGCAGTCCTTGACTGCTTACGCTGGATAGCCCCGGGGTATAAGGCTGGTAGGAGACAAAATAGTTGTGTTTAAATTACCATCTCAGCATCCAGTAGAGAAGCAGCAACACTGCAACATTTTGCAAATTTGTTTTGTTTCCTCTCAGAAAGGGGAAACAATACAGGTAAGACATTTTGAAAGAAGTATTTTGTCTTTTGAATTCAAAGCAGTGATTTGTTTTTTGAAATGTTGTTCAGCTGTTTTGAAACTATAAAGGAACCTGACAGATACTTGAATCTGTAACCAAATATTTCATTTCAGATTGAACAAAAGTTTAAATTCAACCTACAATGGATTTTCAGGAAACAAACAATCCAACAATGCAAACAACAATTTGCCCAGTGTGAGGTAGGCCCCAACCTGCCCAGGCCTGTCTGAAAATCCCAGTAAGGCTCATGGATACTTAGAGGTATCTAATAGGTCTGTGCGAAGCTTTGTCCCTGATTTGATTCAGCTGAATCTCCAAATCTGAATCAAATCAGAGGACCTCTTAATCTCTCTGAATTGAATTGGAGCCCTCCAAGTTGATTTGGAAAGATTTGAAGATTCGGACATAGAAACATTTTTAAATGTTTTTTCTACATACCTCTAGGTACCAGGTGGCTCGTGAATGCTGCGATGTTGGGGTGGATGAAGTGTCTCACACAAGCGCTGGGGGGCTCCCCAGCACTCTCGGCAGTCCTGGTTGCCTGTGTTCTGGGAGGGTTTTTGCTTTGCTGGGTTACAGGAAATACAGCAGTGTGGAAAAGAAGATGCAGTATTCCAGATACTTTCCCAGATACAATGACAGCTGTAGGTGGCTGTTGGTGTTTTCTGCTTGGCTGTTTCAAGCACAGCTTTGGATTAAGCTGAGTACCATCAAGTGCAACTGATAGATGGCTTGAATTACTTGAAATGCCTTTGGTTCAAAGTGTGAATCCTGTGTGTGTAGAAATTAGTTGTGGGTACTGAAGAAGTATATAGAACCTGAATCGGAGGAAGCACTGGATAGCATAATGGTTTGCTGCATTGGCTATGGGTGCTGAGAAACCTGGATTCAAATGAGATTGGGTCACAAATTAAAAGAGTTTGACCTCACTCTAGCTGATGCACATTTCATATCACGAAACCGTGACAGAGTTTGATATGGGCTGTTTTTACTTGCTTGTACCAGGAATTGCTGCAGCCTACTTCTTAACATAAGGGAGCACATGGGTGGGTTCATGTGCAGGGCAGTGATGGAGGAGGAGGATTTGAACTCGGGTTTCTACTTGGTGAGAGCTCAGCAGTCATGTAAAGGGATGACAACAGTAGCTCATGTTGTTCAGAGACGTATATTGTTTGTAGTCCTTCCTAATGCTCAGAGCAAGAGCTGATGTGGGTTGGGACTGAGGTCCACTGGTTGATGGGAGAGGTGTGTGGAGTCTGGGTATGGAATAGTAGGGGCCTGAAGGACTTGTGCTCACAACCGAGGCTTGTTGGCAGAGCTTTGTGGCCCTAAATGAGGGATCACAGAGTTCTGTGGGTCAGGAACCAGGTGCATCAGCAAAGATGTCTATGGGAGCTTCTCTTCTCACCTCTTAACGTTGCCCATTTGAGTGCTAATGACCCGGTGCTTTTGTGATCCAACCCTCTCAAAAACTATACAGTGCATGACTTCCTGCCCACTGGCTCTGCACTAGTCTCTCTTACTGTTTGTGTGCCTGCAGTGATGGGCGCTCTGGAGTCCAGAGGGGTGCTGCGGAAAATGAGCGACATGCTGGAGATGATGGTGAAGAGGATGGACGTGCTGGCCAGGCTGGAGAACAGCACTGACTTCCGGAAAGGGGAGGAAGCTCATTACCCTGTGGACAGGTCAGTGCAGCAACGGGCATGAAGCCACCATGAATTAGGGAAGCCCCTTCCTCCGGCTGCTCTGTTTCCATGGGCCAGCCAATCCCATGCATTGCAGGGCCTGACCCTTGAGAGGTGCCATGTTGCCCTCTCATCCCAGTCCCTTCGTAAGATCTTTGTGAATTGCCAAATCAAGTCAATTAGAGTTGAGGGGGCTGCTGCTATCAGCTGTGACTGTTCTTTTGAGAGCCCTAGCACTTTACCTGTGCAGCAGGTTCCTGTCTCAAGTCTCTCTGGCTGGAATAATCTCTTGGGAATGGAGCTGCTGCCTAGTGGATACAGCCAGGCTAATCAAACAGCATAATTCAGTATCAAAGTATCAGGCTGAGCCTTCTGGCTCTGGGCTTTGAGACCTTTAGATGCTTTTTAGGCCTCCATTTAACTTAGAACAGAGCTCAACCCTGCCTCCATTCCCCCATTTGTGCTACTTACCTCGCTGTGGCATGTGAAATACATCCATCCTCCCCTCCATCCCAGGAGGCAAGGCCGCACGAGGGATGGTCTAGTGCTTAGCCTGCCGCTTGGGAGATGTAGATTCAGGTCCCTCTGCCGTAGAGCTCCTGTGTGACCTTGGGCATATCACTGTGTGCCACCGTTGTGTGGCTCTGCAGTAGGGATAACATATTGCCCTGTCCTGCCTGACAGAAAAGTTGTGAGCTTCAAGTGAGTAAAGGCTATGAAAACTTGGTTACCATGTGGCTATGGTAGCCAAATCAGCTCCTAAATACCTACTACTGTTAGCCTCATTTCAGAGATGGGGAGAATCTAAATAATTTGCCCAAGATCATGTGCAAAGTTGGTGGGAAAGCATGGAGCTCAGCCCAGGTTCCTGCTTAGCGTTGGCCTCACTGGACTGAACATCCCCACCCTCTCCTAGACTAGGGACAAATCCTGGCTATTAGGGGTCAGGCCCATCTCTAATTGAAACTAATGTGTTTAAAGGAGAAATGCAGTATTTTTAAATGTCTTGTATGATATTAAACTTACTTTTAGGAAACACTTGGAGAGGATTTTTAGATGTTTAAGCATCTTGCAGCTACGAGTTGCACGTTACATATAGTAAACCATAGATATAATCCTGCCTTATGTCTTCTAAGCCACCTGTGGAGCTCTGTAACACTATAGTAATTGAATGTCCAGTTGCTAGGGCATCAAGAATTCATTTATTAGCCTTTTATAAACTATTAATGTATGGAACTTTAACTTAATTAGCAAGTTTTAAATGTCTAAGTCTTTTTACTTCTGAGTCTTTAGTATTATTACTTATGGATAGCATGCATTGCATAGAGAAGTCTGGTTTAGTAGTTTGAGCGCTGCACTAGGAGTAACAGTGAGTTCAGCTCCTAGTTATGCTAAAAACCCTGTGTGGCCTGGGGTGTATCGTTTCATCTCCCTGTGCCCTGTGAAATGGGACTCTTCCTTTCCCCCATCATTATCCTGTCTTATCTGAGGAAAAGGCTGTCTTATACCATGTGTCTGTACAGCCCCTAGCACAAGGAGCTTCTGATTATCATGAGAGTTTGAGGCATTTACTACATATGGAACAAGTGAATAATAATGACAGCAGCACTGCGTGGCCATGAGCAGCTGCTCTGTCTTGAGAATGGGGAGGGCAGAGCTGGGGAGGAGAACAAGAAAGGAAGGAAATTGGAGGGCATTTGAATCCTCCTTGCATGTAATACAGTTCCCCACAGGTTGTCTTAAGAAGCTAAGCTGCCTCCTATCACTGGCTGTGCACAGTTTAAATCCACAGCCCCCATTTGTTCTCCCGCACCATTTTCTTATGTTCTTTGCCTCCTGCCAGTGGAAGTGCTGAGAGATTTCCACACACTTTCTGGACCATTCTCCTCCCAGGGACATAGACACACAGTTCACAACATACGGGTTAAAGCCCCGTTAGGACAAGGATAAGAAAACCTACAAATCCTTATGGCTTGGCACCAGTCCAGTCCAGCAATCCAGCCCTGCTCTTAAATAAGACTGAGGCCACATTCCTACTTAATGCAGCTGCTGGCTTCTTTGAAGTAGAGCTTTGATTAAGTTAGCTGCAAATAACTGGGTGGCAGAGTATTAAGGAGATTGCAGGTTTGCTCAGTTGTTTTTTTTTTTTTCCCCTCCTCCTCTTGCCTGGGAACTGTTGCCTATAGATTAACCATCTCTCTGGCTTCTCTTTTGCCACCGTCTGGCTTTGCGGTGACAGAGATTGGGGAATAACCCATAGGGATATAACATCAATTGGTCATGCCCAATGAAGCCCATCAAATCCCATTGACAAACCTGTACATTTCAACTGTACCTTTTATTGCAATGATCCTAAAAATGCCATACCTCTGCCTGTACCTATGCAAGCCTTGTGGGGATAGGAAGAACAGGTGGGTCTAGTGAAACCTTGTTATAACAGCCCCTTTCCCCTGCGACTGGGTAAACAGGTACTTATAAGAAGATGTAATAGGAATAGTTTATTTGCTGTACCAAAATTACAAAATAAAAATGGGTGGCCGCTCTTGGGATTCTTATAAGCAGGGTTTGTTATAATGAGGTTGCCTTATATATTCACTACATACATATTCATATAATACATTCCTGTATGCCACATATATAATGAATGCTTTAGTGCTGCCATGGAGTAGGCAACAGAGCCATGAAATAAACCTGGAAGCACTTGCACCTTGCAGCAGCTCCTCTGCACTCAGCCCATTCCACCTGACTGTCTCCACAAATACTCACTGTGCACCAGATGAGAAATTAGCACAATTATGATTTTCTAGATGTCCCACTCAGGACCAAAGCCTGGCTGTATGTGGCACCATACAGGCACACACATGAACAGTTGCTTCCCTGAAGAGATTATAGTATGACTAGACAACGGAGACAGGAAGTAGTAGCATTCCCAGACAAGAATGTGAGGCGGGGAGATTTGGTGGCTTGCCTAAGGTTAGACAGAAAGGCTGTGGAAGAGGCAGGTGCTGAGCCCATGCTCTCTAAGTCCCTTCACGGCACCTTACCCAGAAGATGGTCCTCCTGGAGTTTTGGTCTACCTCTCCCAGATGCAAAAGCAGTAGCTGCAAACAACTATAGTCTGAAGTTCAAGGTTGGTAATATTCAGCTTTGGTGTAGAGAGATTTTACATGAAATTCAAACAGACTGCCAGGGCCAGAAACACTTGCTGCATCCCATTATTGGGCTGGCATTCCCAGCTCTCTCTTAATATATATCCTGCATCTATTTTTCACACCGACAGCTTGAGAGATGCCATCAGACCTTCAAATTGTGACACACTGATTTAACAAAAAAATATTTCACATTGTTTGGAAACATTTTCAACTTTTATTAATACTAATTTTTCTGTCACTCCAAGGCCTGCAGAAATGAGGCTTGAAGCAACCTGGATTTGGAAGGAGAGAGATTTTAGAGCCCTGCATATCTCATGAGGTTAATCTGTCTCCAAATTGTGTTGCAGATAAAATACCTGAGGATGTGAAACCAGGGATGGGGTCATGAACATAAGGCTGGGATTGCCTGCAGTAGCTTCTGGTGGCTTTGCAACTTGTCAGTCAGGCATATCTATCTATATTTACATATTTATACAGAAGTTATATTATACAGCAAGTGGCAGCATTATATTAAAGTTGTCCACTCAATTCCAGTAGTCAGTTTTCTTCTGCTTTTTGTTGTTGTTGTTTTAAAGAAACTTACTGCTTCCACGATGGTAAAAAATGAGTATATGACCATGTAATTAAAGACACGTACATGTTGAGGTTGCCTGGGACAAATTTGAATTCAATTCCTGCCCTCTGCAGGCTTGCTTTCACAGCATAAACATTTTTAAACAGGGCTTTTAATGAAATCTTTAGCTGTGCAACCTTAATTATAAGCATTGCTGCTCATGCTTTCTATCTCTGCACACAGATGCATATGGATCTTTTGTACAGATACACACAACGTAATGCCATACCAATGGTACACGCATTCATCTTTATAATTTTCTTGGCTAATATCTATTCAGTCAAACCAGTCATTTCTGATTATTTTAATTGCTTCAGTAGCTTAACAACCATTACAAGAAATTGGAACCGTTTATGCAGACTGTCATCTTGATGACCTATAGGATAAAAAATTCACATTTCTAACTGGGGATATTTCCCATATTCAGTATTCCTTTATGAGCAAGAGTTCAAACATGCTTCTTCCAAATAGGTCTTGAAGTATCATAGGAAAGACGTGGCATCCTTTTATTGACCTATGCTGTGAAGGTCATATTCAAGGTCTGTAAGGCATGGGTGTCAGATTTCAAGGTCTTTTTGCTTTAAAAGAGCAGTTGAATGATTGAAATCCGATGAGACTGATGGCTTTGGGTGACCTCTCCTGGGAGGATTATAATGGATGGGCATTTGCAGTATATAATCCTGAACTTTCAAGATGGCTGCTTTTATCATGGATTGATGTTCAGGCCAGATTCAAATGCTTACACAGTTCAGAAGCCTGAGGATCGGCTTTGTCTGTCTTGCAGAGTGGAGTGAGACCAGTTATTTGCCAGCAGTCCCTTGAACAGATACAGCCCCTTTTTCTCGCCATACATTGTCTGTTAATATGCTTCAATTTAAGTCATTGATCATGAATCAAAAATGATCCTCTGGATATTTTATGCAAAAAAAAATGTCCCCAGATAGAACCCAGCTGGTCCTTGGGGCTGTTGCTTTGAGTGGTCAGTTACTTTGCACTAGGAAGCTGGTGCCCTAAGCCTCATAGTACGGTCTCTGTTGGCTGACTGAGCACCTGAAAAGTTTCTAAGATGGAGGAGGGCTTGCAGGTCTCACTTGTGGGCTGCGCACAATTGGCTTAATACAAGCATGTATGCAAATGCTCACTGCATATATAAATCCTATGCTAAGACAGGCACACATGGCTGTGATCTGCACAAGTATTCATCATGTCTGGAATACTCCTGCTTCAAGTAGATA